GATGTGACAGGAGGGAAAACCCCCTCCAGGAGCCTCTACCTCTTCAAAATGCAGAGCTACTAATCACTGTACACAGGCTTCAACTTCAGAAACTTCAGCTCTTCTTTTTGGTGTAAGACTTGGGCCACAAATCTCACCAATTCCCACAGCTCTGTTACAGTTTGCCTCTCTCTGGGTCACAGGCTTTCCAGACCTGTTGGTTCAATCGGTGGTTTCAAAGGGGTACAAAATAGAGTTCAAAACCTTACCACCTCAGTTTTCTTCTCTCAAACAAAAATTTGCCCAAGGACCGTACGTTCAGAATGTCCTAAACCAGCTCTTATTCCAAGGAGTAGTTGTGCCAGTACTCCTACAAGACAGGTTCTAGGAATTCTATTCAAAAACTTATTCATAGTGCACAAGTCTAACATGGTTATTGATCTTCAATTAAAAAGTGAATACTTGTGAGCCACTATGTCTCAGATGTTCAGTATAATATGTGCAATAGGTGGTAGTGAACTACCTGTTGTGTTAGGTGCGCTGGCACTTTCACAAACTCACTTAATTGTGTATATGTAAATTGATTAGACGTATTTATAATGCCGCGCTCCTACTATAAATGCTTAATAATGTATTTTATATCACTCATAAACATCAATAAACTAAATAAATTAATAATAAATATAATAAAAATCAATAAATTAATTAATGTGATATAGTGAATGAAAAAATCAAATCATGGATATACTAAATTGTGCCATTAGTGCTCAAACAATATCAATGCCATATTCCAATTTCATGATTAAATAAAGAGTCTTTTATATCTTTGTGCAAAGGTGCATACAAAAATGAACAGTCTTATATATCTTTGTGCAAAATGTGCAATGTGCAGGTGAACTCCTTAATCCCTCTTTCCAGGTGCCGTGTAGTCTCAATATGCGCTCACCTTAATATTTGCCCAAATAAATTTAGGCAAATAGACTTGTAGTCCTTCTAGGACTGGTGGGATAGTGCTCCTTTATGCAGTATTCCAGATGGATGTGCAGACCTGCTCAGATCCTCCTCCTATAATCTCCTCTTTATTCATCCACGTGGCCAATCATAGATAGATTTTTGAAAGGAGTATCAGTATCTCCTATTTCCCCTCCTGGGGACACCTCCTTCTTATATCCACCTTTCCTCAATGTTGAGTATATAGATCAGATGGAGAAAAAGACCATGGTGTCTTATCCTTTTGAATAAGCGTATTTATTGCTACCAGATGCGGTGATACAAGCATATGAGGCACTTATCTTATGCAGATATGCAGAGCTGGTGATTCCCTCTGCCTCTCTGTCTGCCTCTGCTAGAGTCGCCGAGCCTCTCCGATGCAACGTCGTGACGTCAGAGCCCCTCCCCTACGCGTTGCGTCACATGGTCACGTGACTTCATCAGCCAATCAAATTCCCCCTGATGAAGTCACGTGAACCTGGAAAGAGGGATTAAGGAGTTCACCTGCACATTGCACGTTTTGCACAAAGATATATAAGACTGTTCATTTTTGTATGCACCTTTGCACAAAGATATAAAAGACTCTTTATTTAATCATGAAATTGGAATATGGCATTGATAATATTGTTTGAGCACTAATGGCACAATTTAGTATATCCATGATTTGATTTTTCATTCACTATATCACATTAATTTATTGATTTTTATTATATTTATTATTAATTTATTTAGTTTATTGATGTTTGAGTGATATAAAATACATTATTAAGTATTTATAGTAGGAGCGCGGCATTATAAATACGTCTAATGGTTATTGATCTTATTCTGGAACCAAAAGCTCTAACCCAATACCTTCTGATTCCAAAATTCCGCATGGAATCCGCAAGGTCAGTTATTGTCTCCCTAAGACAAGGGGAACACCTGGCATCCTTAGACATCAAGATGCCTAGCTGCATATTCCCATTTATCCATATCAGCGTTTTCTGTACTTTGCAGTGAAAGACAATCTGTTGCTGCCTATTGGATTATCTTCAGCTCTCAGACTATTCATAAAGGTCCTAGCACTTCTTCTTACCCTTCTAAAAACTCAGGGCATCCAGGTAACAAGTAATCTGGACGGCCTTGCCCTGAAGGACTACTCTACCCTCCAGCTGTCTGGAAATGCCCATAGGACAATTCAGCTGCTCTAGGATTTTAGTTCAGTTAGCAATTTCCAAAAATCTGATCTCCAGCCTTCTCTTCTACTGGAATACTTGGGTCTGGTCCTGGACATTTCCCAAGCAAAGGTGTTTTTGTTTTTTTTTTTTGGGTTTTTTTGTATTTTTTTTTGTTCTTCCAGAGAAGAAAACGCACTCTCTCAGAACTCAGAGATTAAAGGGACATCCCACAATGAGACATTCTATATCTAGGCCTCCCCTTTTAACTAAATACGTGAAATGATTGGCTTTGCCAGTGATGATTTGAGAGCATCCTATTAAAAGGAGTCTTTGCTTAAAGGCTTAAAGCGTTTACAGGAGCCTGACATTGCACCCACAATTCACTTATTGCAGGTGCAATGCTTTGCAGGCTCCTGTGGGAAAATTGAAAAATGCACTTTTTTTTTTCCTACAAAAATGTGTGCGTTTTGTTCTTTTACAAAGGTGAACTTAACTTTTTAAGCAGTAAGTTATGTTTTGTTTTTTGTTTTGTTTTTTTAGTTTGCTTAAAGTGTTACTAAACCCAGGACCCTGCATCCACTATATCTGGTCTCCCGCAGTACACACAACATGGAAATGCAATTATTTTAGTAAATATAAACTTCTAAATACCTTTTCTCATCAGCAGTAACGTTGGGTCCATATATAATAGGACACAGGCACAATTTTAGATTTTTCAGGTATTTACCAAAACATATTTAAGCTATAGTTATATCATGGATATGGGCTGAAAGTGCACACTCTCAGGTTTAATTCGAGGGTATGTACATCCAAATTGGAGGAAGGGTTTAGGAATTACAAATCTTAGAGTAGCCATCCACCCTTTTTTCAAGGGACCAAAAGTAATTGGACAGTTGACTCAAAAGGTGTTTCATGGCCAGATGTGGGCTACTCCTTCGTTCTTCACCAATTAAGCAGGTAAAAGGTCTGGAGTTGATTCTAAGTGTGGTATTTGGAATCTATTGCTGTGAACCTACATCATGTGTTCAAAGGAGCTGGCCAAGCAAGTGAAACAAGCCATTGTAAGGATTCAAAAACGAAACAAATCCATCAGAGAGATGGCAGCAACATTGGCAGTGGCCAAATCAACAGTTTTGTACATTCTGAGGAAAGAATGCACTTGTGAACTCCGCAACATAAAAAGGCATGGGCGTCCACAGAAGACAACAGCGGTGGATGATTGCAGGATCCTCTCTATGGTAAAGAAAAAACCCATTCACAACATCCAGACAAGTAAGGGGCACTCTCTAGGAGGTGTGCGTATCATTTTCAAAGTCTACAATCAAGAGAAGACTTCACGAGCAAATACAGAGGGTTCGCCACAACCATACCATACATAAGCCAGATTAGACTTTGCAAAAAAAAATCTAAAAAGCCAAACCAGTTCTGGAAAAGCATTTTATGGTCGGATGAAACTAAGATTAATCTGTACCAGAATGATGGGCAGAAAAAAGGCTTGGAACAGCTCATGATCCAAAGCACACAACATCATCTGTAAAACATGGTGGAGGTAGTGTGATGGCATGGGCATGCATGGCTTCCAGTGGCACTGGGTCATTGGTGTTTATTGATGTGACAGAAGCAGCCTGATGAATTCTGCAGTGTTTAGAGATACTGTCAGTCCAGATTCAGCCAAATGCAGCAAAGTTGATTGGACAGCGCTTCACAGTACAGATGGACAATGATCCAAAACACACTGCAAAAGCAACCCAGGATCTTTTGAAGGAAAAGTGGAATATTCTGTCAATCACCTGATTTCAACCCAATTGAGCATACATTTCACTTGCTGAAGGCAAAACTAAAGGCAGAAAGACCCACAAACAAAAAACTGAAGACAGCTGCAGTTAGAGCCTGGCAAAGCATCAGAAAGGAGGAAACTCAGTCTTTGATAATGTTCAAGGGTTCCAGACTTCAGGCAGTCATTGCCAGTAAAGGATTTTCAATAAAATATATTTAAAAATGAACGTGTTTTTTTTATTTATGATTTATATTCAACTGTCCAATTACTTTTGGTCCCTTGAAAAAGCGGCGATAGCTACTCTTAAGATCTGTAATTCCTAAACCCTTCCTCCAATTTGGATGTCCATACCCTCAAATTAAACCTGAGAGTGTGCACTTTCAGCCCATATCTATTATATAAATGTAGCTTGAATATGTTTTGGTAAATACCTGAAAAAACTAAAATTGTGCCTGTGTCCAAATATATATGGACCTAACTGTATATAGCAGTCTTGTGGATTCTATCAGTGTTCAGCCAAGCACTAGCTAAAGCTTGTAGGAGGAGTTTTCATTCTGCTCTAGGAGGATGCAAAACCCCTGACCTCTGTCTGGACAGTGCTGATTGGCCCTGTGCTGATCACATGCTCACTCCCAAGAAATAAAAAAAACCTCTCTAGCAATACACCCCAAACGGAGCATGTGCAAAATGCCTACGGTTCAGTCTGTCTTATCAGGAGATAAGAGGTAGTCGCTTGAAAAAGGGGAGGAATAGAGAATTAAGAGCCTTTTTATACAATGCAGAGGATTAACCCCCTAGGTTCCACAGGGGAGTATAACAAGCATGCTTTACTGCATATACAGATTGATTTTACTGTTGTGGGTTTAGTAACACTTTTTTAATGTTAACAAATCTTAAAGACATCTGCATGTGTAACCTGTGCTGCTATTGTGAGACTATTTTAAGCTTGAAAATGGCATAAAGAATAATTCAGTGTAAAATGTGAAAAAGTTATATTAATCTGCATTTGTAATGCCAATTGTATTTTTGCCAAAATTATTGCTGTTGTGTTTGAAAGTAAAGACAAACCTACTTATATTTTCTCTTGTGTTCTTTAGGACATTAAAAATGCAGAATTGGCATTATTTGAACTCAGTCGGGTTATCAGCTTGGAACCTGATCATCCTGAAGTATTTGAGCAAAGAGCAGAAGTGAGTACTGCTGAAAACTTTTTTGTGTTTTTTTTTGATATGATTTATAAATGCACTTGAAATCCTTACTTTTTTTATTTCAGGTCTAAGCAGACTGCTTAGAAGGGGACATTCCCCTAAAGCTTGTCCGCAGAATTGTATGTTCATGCAAATAGAAAAAGTATCACAGACAGTACTTAATTGTTCCAAATAGTCCTGAAAAACCCAGGAGGAAGAAAATTTTGAATTATGGTTTTGAACTGTTGCTGTTTTGTTGGTGCACATACTGTTTAACTTACTCTAAATATCACAGCAAGTTTTATGACCACTATAAAAATAAAACATCCTGTTTCTTCCTTAATTACATGCAGGGCTTATTAGTGCTCTTTTATGATCCACATGTTTTATGTACAGTATTTTCTGTGTTCTGGAGCTGCTGTTTACCGTATTTTTCGCTCCATAAGAAACACTTGATCATAAGACGCACCTAGATTTTAGAGGTGGAAAACAGGAAAAAAATATTCTGAACCAATGGACTGTGGACACGGTACAGGGGATGACCAGAGACTGCGGACCTTTTAGGGAGCAGAGGTGGGGGTGTAAGCGGGTACCCAAATATGACAGGTACCCGCTACCGCGAAGTTGTCCTTCCCCGTAATCTTCTGGGACACGTGACAGGTCCCAGAAGATTACAGGGCCATTCACAAAGCGTGGCGCTGCTCACGCATGTGCAGTGGGCACCCGGCTGTGATGCCACAAGCTGTCACAGCCGGGTGCCCATGCCGGGGAGAGAAGCCTGAGGACACCGCTGGTTCGAGGAACCGGTAGGACCGCTGGAGGTCTGCAAAGAGCCGAGCGGTCGGCCTGGCATTCTAACACGGCAGGAATACCGGGCTGGCCACTTGATATTCACTCCATAAGACCCACAGGCATTTTCCCCCATTTTTTTGTGGGGGAAAAAGTGTGTCTTATGGAGCGAAAAATACGGTATTTCCTGTTGCCATTTATTTCTTGAATCCTCTTGGTCTCCAAGCATCCGAGCTGAGCACTATGTAGTTGAAGGTTTGTGAGACATTTTGTATTTAGCAGTCAAACTTTGGGCTAATGCAAATGAGGCGTGTCATGTAGGAGTGCTCCCCATTTACACTCCCCAGCTACTCTATTAGGTACTTCTTGCTAGTGCCAAGACCAGCCTGATCCATTGCTGCAAGTCAGGATTGATCCATTCTTTCATGTTGTTTACACCAAATTCTGACCCTACCATCTGAATGTCGCAGCAACCAGTCTGCCCATTCTCCTCTATCAACAAGGCATTTTTGTCCACACAACTGCTGCTCACTGAATATTTTCTCTTTAAACCCTAGAGATGGTTGTGCAAGAAAATCCCAGTAGATCAGCAGTTTTTGCAACTTGACTCAGACCAGCCCGTCTGGCACAATCAACCATTCCAAGTTCAAAGTCTCTTAAATCCCCTTTGTTCCCCATTCTGATGCTCGGTTTGAACTTCAGCAAGTAATCTTCACCATGTCTACATGCCTAAATGCATTGAGTTCCTGGCTGATTGCATTGAGTGATTTGGCTGATTTGCAATTTGTGTTACCTAGCAATTGGACAGGTTCACCTAATAAAATGGCCAGTGAGTGTATATGTTGCAATAGCGAATACATACTGTATGTCATGTGCAGCGATTTGATGTACTAAAATGTGTACTTTTATCGTACCTTATGTTGAGTTGTACACGCTTCTGCAATTGAGGTCCATGTTTGTTTGCTTTTTACTCAGATTATATAGAACTTGTTCAGTTAAATTTTTTTTTTAAATAGTAACTGGTCATGTGAGCTGATTGCTGATCACCTTCTAAAAATGTTAGTTGCCTGGTGATATCTGATGTTGGCTTTGGTGACATCCTAATAACTGGTCCCTTACAAGTATGCAGATGAGGAGCTTGGACCTAATTGGGTGCTTTCTTGTCCCAATCATTGACTCATAAAAATATAAAAAGCCAGTGATCAGCAACAAACCTTTTCAGACAGTCAGCAGTGACGATCTCTATAGTTATTTAAAGAGAGGTATCCTTGAAATATTAGCACTGGGCAAGCCAAATACATTACATAGCACAGGTAACCTTTTTGCCCTTTTTCACAGGGAGCAGTGTAAAAATATAGTGATGCACCAATATATCAGGCACCGAAAATTAAGTCCCATTGACTTCAATGCAAAACCAGCTGCATTTAAGATTTTACATTTTATTTATATTTTCTGTCCACATTTTGTGTGTTACACTCAATAAGTTATTTTATGTTGTCACTGGATTGTGTTTTTAAAAATCATATTCATTTAAATTAATGTTAATTTTAAAGATACAGTGGGGATCGAAAGTTTGGGCACCCCAGCTAAAAATTTGTATTAATGTGCATAAAGAAGCCAAGGAAAGATGGAAAAATCTCCAAAAGGCATCAAATTACAGATTAGACATTCTTATAATATGTCAACAAAAGTTAGATTTTATTTCCATCATTTACACTTTCAAAATAACAGAAAACAAAGAAATGGCGTCTGCAAAAGTTTAAGCACCCTGCAGAATTTATAGCATGCACTGCCCCCTTTGCCAAGCTGAGACCTGCCAGTGTCATGGATTGTTCTCAATCATCGTCTGGGAAGACCAGGTGATGTCAATCTCAAAGGTTTTAAATGCCCAGACTCCTCTGACCTTGCCCCAACAATCAGCACCATGGGTTCTTCTAAGCAGTTGTCTAGAAAACTGAAACTGAAAATAGTTGACGCTCACAAAGCTGGAGAAGGCTATAAGAAGATAGCAAAGCGTTTTCAGATGTCAGTATCCTCTGTTCGGAATGTAATTAAGAAATGGCGGTCATCAGGAACAGTGGAAGTTAAAGCAAGATCTGGAAGACCAAGAAAAATATCAGACAGAACAGCTTGCAGGATTGTGAGAAAAACAATTCAAAACCCACGTTTGACTGCACGATCCCTCCAGAAAGATCTGGCAGACACTGGAGTTGTGGTACACTATTCCACTATAAAGAGATACTTGTACAAATATGGTCTCCATGGAAGAGTCATCAGAAGAAAACCTCTTCTACGTCCTCACCACAAAAATCATCGTTTGAACTTTGCAAATGAACATATAGACAACCTGATTCATTTTGGAAACAAGTTCTGTGGACCGATGAGGTTAAAATTGAACTTTTTGGCCAGAATGAGCAAAGGTACGTTTGGAGAAGCAGGGGCACAGAATTTAATGAAAAGAACCTCTGTCCAACTGTTAAGCATGGGGTTGGATCAATCATGCTTTGGGGTTGTGTTGCAGCCAGTGGCACAGGGAACATCTCACGAGTAGAAGGAAAAATGGATTCAATAAAATTTCAGCAAATTTTGGATGGTAACTTGATGCCATCTGTGAAAAAGCTGAAGTTAAAGAGAGGATGGCTTCTACAAATGGATAGTGATCCTAAACACACCTCGAAATCCACGGGGGATTACATCAAGAGGCGTAAACTGAAGGTTTTGCCATGGCCTTCACAATCTCCTGACCTCAACCTAATTGAAAATCTATGGATAGACCTTAAAAGAGCAGTGCGTGACAGACAGCCCAGAAATCTCAAAGAACTGGAAGACTTTTGTAATAAGAATGGGCAAAGATACCTCAAACAAGAATTGATAGACTCTTGGCTGGCTACAAAAAGCGTTTACAAGCTGTGATACTTGCCAAAGGGGGCAGTACAAGATATTAACTCTGCAGGGTGCCCAAACTTTTGCAGACGCCATTTTTTTGTTTTCTGTTATTTTGAAAGTGTAAATGATGGAAATAAAATCTAACTTTTTTGTTGACATATTATAAGAATGTCTAATCTGTAATTTGATACCTTTTTGGAGATTTTTCCATCTTTCCTTGGCTTCTTTATGCACATTAATACAAATTTTTAGCTGGGGTGCCCAAAATTTCAATCCCCAGTATATATATATATATATATATATATATATATATATATATATATATATATATATATACATACATACATACATTTTATTTTTTTTTTTTTTTTTTTTTTTTAAACTGTCCCTTTCAGTTTTCGACCAAGTGCATGCTGAATTTTCGTTTTCTGTCCAAAATTTTCATTTTGGTGCACCACTAGTAAATTATGCTGCTAGATTGTAAATTTTATTTATTTTTTCACCTGCTTGCAACCTCCAAAATTTTTCTAATCTGATAAAAGAATACATGAAAATGGAGAAAAAAAGAAAATTGACATGTTACGTGTTTTTTTTTTTTTTTGTGTTTTTTTTTTAACTGCTAACACTACCTACCATAACTTTTTTGCCTTTTCCCTTTCTCCCCAAAAGATATTGTCTCCCCTGGGAAGGATTAGTGAGGCACTGAGTGACCTGACCAGAGCAATCCAGCTACAGCCATCAGCGCGGTTATATAGGCATAGAGGAACACTTCATTTTATATCTGAGGTGAGCTAAAAAAAATATTTTATTCTGTATATGTCAAGTCCACCCCTAAATCTTAACTACATTGAGATTAAATGATTTCCAGTTTTTTGTGTCTGTCAATGTTCTTACAGATGAGATTGCATTTCCTTCCTTTTTTTTTGCAGATTCCAACCTTTGTTATTCTGAATAGCGAGCTGTTTGTGTCCATGTGGAAAGTGAATCTAATGGGAGTGGTTTCATAATTATCAATCAGCTGCTGCACTTGCAGGGATCTAATGAGGAAAATTACAGGGTTTGCATCGCTTCAGAAGTGATTTCCTATTGGCAGTACCTAAAAAGACATTTTTGTTGCAGGGGATGCCAGAAATCTGATTTTTTTTTTCTTTGTGCGGACTTCAGTGAGTCGATCATAGGAAATTATGTTTCTGGGGGGGGGCGTTCTGTATACAGAACACCATGAGGTAGCCATATTGCATTGCATTTTACAGAGAATTACAGCACCACAGATTAAAAAGGAACAGTCATTTTTAATAACATTCAATTACAATATGACTTGTGTTGTTGTAGTTTTATATGCAAATTTTTTTTTTCACTTTTTTCCCATGAAAGTGAAGTTACCCTTTAAACTAGAACCCAGCAGAGTTTTGTTATAGACCTGCCAGTTGTCAGAGGAGATGTGCAGTGACATGAAAAGTGTTGAGCACCCTCTTAACCTTTTTGCTGTGTTAAAATATTCCCCATTATATCCCACTTTTATTTTACTGTACACATGTGCTGCCTATTGAGTAATATTTTGCTTGAGCATATTAAACAAAAAAGAACTTGTCATCAGACTGGAAGTTATGTCACCGCACTTGAAGATCACTCCACAATCACACTACAGCTATTCACTAACACTTTTCTGAAATGAATAACAACTTTTTTTTTTTTTTTGACAGGATTACATTGCAGCTCATGAGGATTTTCAGCGCTCCCTAGAACTGAATCCGAACCAACCAATTGCTGTTTTGTACAAGGGCTTGACGTTTTTCCACAGAGGGCTGCTGAAGGTAATCTTGGTGCAAGTAATCTGTTGGTCGCCTGTCTGTCAGAAGTCAGGCTAACGACCGGCTTTTGTCAAAGGGACAGGCTGGAAAACCAGCATCTGATTAAGCACTTGAAGCCAATGGCTTCAAGGGCTTGTTTAGGAATTTCACGGCTTTAAACCTGAAATAACCTTGCAGATGAGAGCTCCAAATCATATATTAGCGAAAATATAGCTGTATGAGAGCACCTATGCCCTGCCCATCAGATTCTCTGGTTACGTTGATTACAGTTCTCATTTTTATAGGGCTTCTTTAGTACATGCTACACCCTGCATTGCTTATCAGTTTACAACACTTACGATGTATAGGGGACCAGTCTGCAACATTTTATGAGTATCAATGGTGCATTAATACTTCGCACGCTCAATGGTGCAGTGGACCAACGTGCCAAATGCAGCTATATATTTTTTTTTTTTTTAATTAACTTAATTGAACACTTATTACTGTTATTTCATTATAATATTTTGTCATGATGTAGGATATAGTAAGAATCACCTTTATCCCTATTCACGCTGATCAGTGTGCAATACAAAGGCAGAGCATTGGAGATCGCTGCACCAACATTGCTTGTGTTGGTATGGCGATCTGTCAGGTTTTTTTTTTTTGTTTTTTTTTTTTTTTCTTTCTTTTTTGAGGGTGTTTTTTTGCCTTCAGACCACTGGGTTGAATAAAAAAAAAAACTAGCCATGTGTACCGGGCTTAATTTGTATACAGATCTATCTCCTCTGGTAAAAAATATATAGAGAGAGCTGCTATCCACCAAAAACTATTAGTTTAGTGCACAAATATATGTACTTACCTCTACTCTACACTACTTTACTTTGGCCACTTGTAACAAATGTAGTCTTATCTATCTGCCATCTAATTTAAAAAATGAAAAACTGCATTAAAAACCCAGTATCCTAAATTCAGTTTTTCCAGGTGAAATGCAAAAAAAAAACCTTATAAAGAGTGGCTTATTTTGCTCTAATAGGAAACAAATGGGATACAATCTGAATCAATGTCTTACAGACCACACCCCTGGTAGTGACATTCTTTTTATTCTCATGGTTTGTGTCCAGCTATACCTTGTTCTCTCAGTATTGTGTATGTTGCAACACACTCACCAACAACTACGCACTGGAGTTGCACTTCTGCTGCCTCAGTTTTGCACTAGCCTCTGTTACAGCTCATTCCACACTGTCTGCATTGTATTGTTTGAAAGCTTTCCCTACACTGTTTGCATTTCACTCTTTACTTTCACCCTATGTTCCCCAAAAAACTGTATCAACAGAACTACTAAAACTGCATGGTGCAAAATCTTGTGCAGCTTTGCATAGGAAACCAATCAGCTTTCAGTGTGTTTTTTATTTATTTTTTTCAAAGTTTAACTGAACAAGCTGAAGTTATAAGCTGATTGGTGGCACCAGATTTGCACTCTCCAGTTCTATTAAATCAACCTCTATGTTCTTTGGCACCCCCATTGTCCACACTACACTTGATCATCTTTGCACCTAATCACACTGCATCCTACTCAGACTTCTCTCCTCTGCACCATCTGCTAAATTCAGCTTTACACACTTTCTTATTTCTTGTGCTTTGTATCTTCTGACGTCATCCTTGTCACCCCTTTTGTAATTCACTCTGGCATTCTGTGCTCCTCATTCACCATAATATTTTTCTGTGGTATGTTGTGCTAAACACTTTTCCCACTGTCGTACTGTAAATGCCACCTAACATTCCATAAATATGCTGAAGTCCTTTTCCCCCTTACTAAACACATTAGCACTTTGTGTAAGTCCTACCCTACCCTACCCTACACCACAACTTTGCAGATCAAGAGAAATGGTATATTCAGGTATTCTTCTGCCTTTTTAGTGTATTCCAATGTTCCAGGGGCATCTGTTGCTCCTTCCTCTCCTTCACCCTTTGCCATGAACAGCTTCCACTCTGCTTTAATTGCTTTGGACGTTTTTAAATGTCATTTTTTTTTTCCTCTCAATTATTCTATATTCAGGAAGCTATTGAGTCATTTAAAGAAGCCTTGAAGCAGAAATCAAACTTTATTGAAGCATATAAAAGCCTTGGTCAAGCTTACAGGTAAGCACGTCCAGCCAAATGAGGTACAGCAGCAGTTGAATGAAAATGATCTCAAGCAGGTTGTATGGGGTGTATTTGCAACATAAAATTTAGTAAAAGTTAAGTTTTTATAATGCAGGCTAACATTTTGTTAAATATTAAACATGTAATTTTTGCACAAGCCATTTTGGAATATTTTAAAAAATTACATTCACATTACAAATGTAAAACTGAAGTTATTATCTAAAACTGCCAAAGCAATTTAGAATGAACTTTCTTGCAGTAAGTCAACCTAGAACCCGTAATTCCTGCTTGATGGAATGGCTGACAAAGTCTGCACAAAGTTGTAAGTCAGATTTCAGGCATTCTCTGCAATTGGAGTTGAATTTACTGTGTAAGACTCCTCCACTGCTAAAGGGAAGAAGATAATGGTCATTGTCATATTGTTACACTAAGACTGTTAAAAGTGGTTTTAAGGAAGGCATGCCTCACTATTTCTAAACCATATGAAAAAAACTCATGGATAGACAAACCTGTTTTTAAGATGAGAGAATTGTAGAAATCTGTAATTTCAAAAATCTTTGCAATGAATATATTTCAGCAGGCAGAGATAGTATTTTCCCTTAGTAAAACTGAAGCTACACTTTAACCTATTTAATGCATATGAAGATTGGGCTACCCAAAAATAACTCCTTGGGTTGCAGGCACTCAATCTGAAGTAGATTTGTTCTTTTTAAGTAGACACTTTCTTGGTGATCTAGTAATAATGGTTCTTAACCAGTGCATCCACCCATTTTTACTTTAGATGGACAGGAAGCAGTGTCAATGTGGGCTTATGTGCCTGTAAGTCAGCCCGCACCAGTGGCTCCTGCACAGCTTACAGAACGCTAACCCGGGAGCCCGGTGATCAGTGTCACCCAGACATTGCTGATCACATTACGGCTGTGTCTGGGTGATCACATGGTATTTTTTTACCATGTGATTGCTGTGTCCAATCACATAGTAAACAATAGAGAATGAAAGCAAGCATTGGCTCTCTCTATCACTGTGAGAGCAGAGGAAAGTGATGCTGCAGCCTGTACATGTACAGCCACCTGCTAGGCTGCTTGTACACTCACCGCATTGCCAGCCTGCACCAGAGTTCCTGATCGTGCCCCAGTATAGTCCTTTGTAAATAATGCAGCCAGCACCTGTCACTTGTCCCAGTGCTCACAAAAACAGCCATCATCTATACCAATGTCCTGATCACCACCATACCTCAAACCAGCGCCCTGATCATCGCCATACCAGCGCCCTGATCATCGCTATACCCCATATAAGTGTTCTGATTCCCCATATGCCATACCAGCATCCTGTTCACCACCATAACCCATATCGGCATCTTGATTACGCCATACCAACTTCCTGATCACCACCATACCCCATTCCAGTGTCCTGATCAAGGCTATAACCCATACCAGCGTCCTGATCACTGCCTTACCTTATACCAATCTCCTGATCACTGCCATGCCATATATACACACACACACTAGCCACTTTATTAGGCACACCTTGCTAATGCCAAGAAAATATCCTCCACACCACTTTACCACCACCAGCCTGAACCGTTGATACAAGGCAGGATGGATCCATGCTTTCATGTTTATGCCAAATGCTGATCCTACCATCTGAATATCACAGCAACCAGTTTCCCCATTCTCCGCTGAATCTGACATCAGCAAGACCTTTTCGTCCGCACAACTGCTGCTCACTGCATATTTTCTCTTTTTTGGACCATTCTCTGTAAACCCTAGAGATGGTTGTGCATGAATATCCCAGTAGACCAGCAGTTTCTGAAATACTCAGACATCCCGTCTAACAACCATGCCAACATAGTTTGTAGACCTCATTTTATATACTGTTTTGGGTTATTTTTACCACAAAAAAGTAGAATACATTGTGGCCTAAATTTATGAAAGATTTATTTGCAAAATTTTATAACAAAAACTAAGCAAAAAATGTTTTTTTGTAATTTTTTTTTTTCAACATTTTTGGTATTTGTTTTCATTTATATAGCAAAAAAACCCCAGTGGTAATCAAATAAAAGCTCTATCTTTTGTTGCAAACAAATTATAACAATGTTATATGGGTACAGTGTTGCATGATTAATTGTCAAAGTGTGACAGGGATGAAAGCTGAAAATTTGGCCTGGGCTGGAAGGGGGGTGAAAATGTCCAGACTTGAAGTGATTAAGAAAGATTTTGCGCAATACATCCAAGGTTCCCTTAAAGAGTAACTCAACGTTTGTCAGAAAAAAATAACATAACTTCTGCTTCCGATTACCTAGGTGGTCAGAACGGAGGTGGGAATGGGAACCTGTCTAAATCCCACTCCCCAAAAGTACCAATTCCTTACCAGGACGGAGGAGGAGGCCTTAAAACGGAACTTCCCCTTTTTTGGGTGGAGCTTTGCTTTAATGTTAAAAATGACCTTTCCTCTTCACTCTGCAACAGTTGTCATTTTCTGGAAAAGCAATGCAGTGTGGCAACTTGGAGGCCTTCTGTACACAGTTGGTGTACAGAACTTCCCCAGAAATGTCATTTTCTGCTTTTGTGAATTTGACTGATTTTCCCACAAGTCTACACTAAGATACAAATCAGATTTTAGACCTCCTCTGCTATGAAAATATAATTTTGTTCAGATACTCACAAAGCATTAATTACTTCTGAAGGGATGCTGACTCGGCTTTCTTCATTAGAACACTGCAGTTGACTATAATAAAAGTCACTCCCATTCAGATTCACTCTGCTATTCGACTTAAACAAATAGCTGTTCCTATAGAGCAGATCTGTTCCTACCCAGAGTAGGTAGGACTCTGGAACGAAGTTTGTTAAAATCCATGCAATATTCCTTGATCACACAAGGGATTTTTTTTTTTCTCAACAAAAGTGGAGTTACTGGCAGCAATTAATTTTAATTTCCCATTAGCTGTATCCTGCTGACAAACGCATGCTGTGTCCAATCACAGCATGGGGTCAGTAGGGGATGCGTGCTGCCAAACCAGGAAGTACCTGTGACATAAGAATACGTCATGGTGCTTGGCTGTGCCACCCATTCGCAGTATATCTACTGTGAGCTGGTAAGCAAGAGATAAGGGCAGGTTCACACTAATGCAACATTAGTATGACAAGGGGAATCTCATTGTTTTTTCAATGGTGCTCATTGTTCAGAAATTTGCTATTTTGGAAAAGATTCCTGCACTACTTTTGGTGTGATTTACAGTGTGAATTGGCTCCATAGAATATGGAAAGCCGCATAAAAGTCACACCACGTGATTGTACTGTCAGTTGCATCACAATAGAGTAAACGGAAACTAAATAAGATTGGATCCTGGGGGGTTTGTTTGCTTTTTTGTTCTAATGTTAGAGGTGATCCCTAATATGTTCCCATAAGCCTCATTTGATTCTTCCCACATACTGTTTGCAACAGGTTACGCAGGAGATGATGTATACAACCTATTTAAGCTGACCATTCACTCTCGGTTTAATTTCAACAGGAGGACCATTTGTGTATGACCTGATTTGTATGAGAGTCCCTTAAGTACGCACATCATGAGCAATGAGAATACCCACATCTGTATATCCTCATAGTGCTCAATCATATGCTTTTATTTTTATGGAGACTAAATGTAAGCCACAGCGTTGTAAATATGTTGTGTAATCATCTCCTGCATAACCTTTTGCAAACCCCCATCCTACCAAATGCTTGACATTTTGCATTTTAAAATTTAAAAACTGAAAATAAAAATGAAAACATTAGGCCAATATTACAGACCAATGTTTGAGTTTAGCTCACAAATTGGCATTCTGTTACAGTGAAGGAAATACGTATTTGATCCCCTGCTGATATTGAATGTTTGCCCACTCACAAAGTAATAATCAGTCTAAAAATTGAATGGTAGGTGTATTGTAGCACTGAGAGACAGAATGGCAACAAATCATTCAAAAGAAATGCATGTCTATCAAATTATGCACTGATTTGCATGTTCATGAGGGAAATAAGTATTTCATCCCCTATCATTCAGCAGGATTTCTGGCTACCAGGTGTCTTTCATACAGGTAACAAGCTGAGATTAGAAGCTGTCTCTTAAAGGGAGTTTCTAATCTCATTTTGTTACCTGTATAAAAGACACCTGTTCACAGGAACAATCAGATTCCAAACTCTCCACCATGGCAAAAACCAAAAAGCTGTCCAAGGATGTCGGGGACAAGATTGTAGACCTACACAAGGCTGGACTGGGCTACCAAACTATCGCCGTGCAGCTTGGTGAGAAGGTGACAACAGTTGGTGCAATCATTTGCAAATGGAAGAAAGCCAAAACTGTCAGTCTTCCTAGGTCTTGTGCACCATGCAAGATCTCAACTCGTGGAGTGTCATCCCAGAACTACACGTGAAGATCTTGTCAATGATCTCCAGGCAGCTGGAACCACAGTCACCAAGAAAACAATTGGTAACGCACTGCGCCGACAAGGATTGAAATCCTGCAGTACCCTCAAGGTCCCTCTGCTCAAGAAAGCACATGTCCAGGCCCGTCTGAAGTTTGCCATGAACATCTGAATGATGAGGACTGGTTGAAAGTGTTGTGGTCAGATGAGACCAAAATGGAGTTCTTATTCAGCATTCCTCCTCCAAACACAGCGAGTTGAGCCGATGCCAATGACCCCAAGAACACCATCCCAACTGTCAAACATGGTGGTGGAAACATTCTGCTTTGGGGGTGTTTTTCTGCTAAGTGGTCAGGACAACTGCACCGCATCAAAGGGACGATGGACGGGGCAATGTACCGTCAAATCTTGGGCGAGAACCTTCTTCCCTCAGCCAGGGCATTGATATTGGGTTGTGGATGGGTGTTCCAGCATGACAATGACACAAAACACAGGGCCAAGGCAACAAAGGAGCAGATCATGAAGAAGTACATTAAGGTCCTGGAGTGGCCTAGCCAGTCTCCAGACCTTAATCCGATTGAAAATCTGTGGAGGGATCTGAAAGTTTGAGTTGCCAAACGTCAGCCACCAAACCTTAATGACTTGGAAAGGATCTGCCAAGAGGAGTGGGACAAAATCCCTCCTGAGATGTGTGCAAACTTCTGTGATTGCCAACAAGGGATTTGCCACCCAGTACTAAGCCATGTTTTGTGAAGGGAATCAAATACTTATTTCCTTTATGAACATGCAAATCGGCGCATAATTTGTTTAGACAGAATAGCAACAAAAAATTCAAAAGAAATGCATGTCTCTCAGTGTTACAATACACCTATAATTTGATTTTTAGACTGATCATTTCTTTGAGTGGGCAAACATTCCAAATCAGCTGGGGATCAAATACTTATTTCCTTCACTGTATATACCCCATCCTATACACATTAAACTTGTGAGAGTCAACTATGTTTATTTATTACAGGTATTTATGCATTGCTGACAGAAAAGACCTTCATATGTTTGTGATGCTGCTGTAAACATTTTTATGTTTGTTTGAAGACAGGAGGCCCTGTCAGCTGCAGGAAATGTTGCTTTTTCATTAGAAAAAGATGTTTGGTAGAGCATTTGGTTATGGTAAAACTATTTGCGTGCCTACTGGTTATGGTAAAACTATTTGAGCACCTGTTAATTTGCATTCTGTGTAGCCTATTGTGCAAAGCGCTTTTGTGTTTATTTCTCACTATGCCACTAGATGGGGAGATTGTTCTGTGTGTGGAGTAGTCTTGTATGTCTTTTAACAAAACCTTTGTCTCAATATACATGACATTTTGTCACATCATTTGACGTCTAAAACAAATCTAGAACAAATTTTTTGAAACACAAGCTTTTCTATATGTCTCTATATAACTTATTTTTTCTATAGGCTTCTATATTTGAGGGAGCTGACAATATACAAACTAGGTACTAAGAATAATGTGTTGTCTGTGTCTATGCCATTATAACCACTAGACAGCCAGCAACATACTGGTACATCGCTGGACTTCAAGTGGTTATACCGGGATGATGCCTACAGCTGCAGGCATCATCCCGGTGTTTTTATATTTTTTTTTCAGCCGACAGTTGGATTTTTGCAAAAGCAACCCCACCCCTGCCCCTGCGGTTCTTTCTGGCTCTGCTGTGCCAGTGGGAGACCCGAGCTTTCAGTTGGCAGTTCCACCGTCTGACCAAAATTTGCTGATCAGAGACTGGAACAGCTCCAATCATCTCTATGGTCTCAGAAACCAGAAGCAATGAGTATTCATCACTTCTAGTTTCACCAGATGTAAACAGCACCATTTTTAAACTGGGATCGCATCTGATCACACCGATCTTAGCGAGCTAATAGACCCCAGATCTCTCAGTAAAGAGTACCTGTCACTGCCTATTGCTATCATAGGAGATATTTATATTCCCTGTGATCACTATAAAAGTGATAAAGAAAAAAAATAAAGTGTCATTCTAAAAAATAAATAAAATAAAAATGTTATAAAAATTCAAAGCGCCCTGTCCCCCATGCTTGCTCGTCGGTCCTGCACACATGCAAACAGTGATCGTTCCACGTATGTGAATTATAATCATGAACATTAGATTGAGGGCAGAAATGCTAGCATCAGACCTCCTGTTTACAGCCATAGTGGTAACCTGTAAGGGCCTTTAAAGTTTTACCTACAATTTGTTGCCGTAGCACTGACATTTGCATTTTTAAATTGGTTGGTATCTATTTATTCAGCGTAACATCTTTTATATTTTACCAAGCAATTGGATATTCTATTGTGCAGTATTTTTGTGCATTAACCACTTCCCGATCGCCCTATAGCAGAAATACTGCTACAGGGTGGCAAGGGTGTGCAGAATCACGTGTATATGTACGTGATATTGCATTTCCGGGTAGGGGGCCTGCACGCGCCCTACCCACACTGCTATTCGTGGCCATCAATCACCGGGTCCCGACTAGTGATTACTCACCGACGCCCACTGATTGCCCGACATCTCCAAAGGGGAGGAGAACTGTTTGTAAACAAAACCGTTCTCCTCCCTGTCAGCTCGTGCACACTGCTTTGCAAAGCAGTGTGCTTACAGTGAAGCACACAGACCCCAGTAAAACGTCACACAGTTAACCCTTTGATCGCCCTCATGTTAACCCTTTCTTGCCCAGTGCCATTAGTACAATGTTGGTGCTTTTTTTTTTTTTTTTACTCAAAAAATAACCACACAGGCGATCAAATACCACCAAAAGAAAGCTCAATTCGTGAGGGGAAAAAAAAGGATGTAAATTTTCATTTGGTTGCAGCATTGCATGACTGCGCAATTGTCAAAGTAACGTGGCGCCGTTACGGAAAACATGGCCTCCTCAGGAGGGCAAGTGATTAAAATAATGTTTTTTTTTTTTTAAAATTGTGTTTGAAAAACCACTGCACAAATACCATGTGACATATAAAAATTGCGACACCCACCATTTTATTCTCTAGAGCTTCTGCTTTAAAAAATATTCAGTGTTTTTGTGGTTCTTAGTAATTTTTCTTGCAAAAAATACTGATTTTAACATGTAAAGGAAGTGTCAGAAAAGGCTTGGTCTTAAAGTGGTTAAAAACCTGTCATGAGAGAAATGCGGGAGTTGCTCCTGATTTAATCATTTTTGAAAATGAAGGTTTCCTGGCTGTTATACACACCCTCTGATTTCAGTGCTTTCTATTTTTTTATTTACATACTGTAAAACTTTAGCCATATATGCTAAATATAAACTGCATTTTTGTGTCTGATTTCAATGCAAAGATTGCTGAGTAATTTATTTATTTATTTTTTTCTTAAATGCTTTGTGGGTTTTTTTTTTTTTTTTTTTTTATAAAGGGAACTTGGTAACTTTGAAGCCGCTATGGAGAACTTCCAAAAAGCCTTGATACTGAATCAGAATCATGTACAGACACTTCAGCTAAGAGGCATAATGCTTTACCATCATGGCAGTCTTCAAGAAGCTTTAACAAACTTTAAGGTGTGTTTTTGATATATGTGTGTATATAGTCTTAAGATAGCCTAGTTTGCAGGATTATTACGGGATACATAGTCCAGAGATACTGGCCATTATTACATTTTGACCTCTAATAACCAGCACATAAAATAAGTTTACTTCATAATTTGACTGCAAAGTTTCAAAATTTCCAATATACAGCCCCCCAATCATTCTTAGTTGTGTTGCAAAGAAAAGCAAGCTCATATGCCCAACACTCCTAGTTCTAGACTAGTTACTGAGTTTAACTTACAAGGACTTTCTGAAAGTAGAGGGGTTGCAAATAAGGACATGGATTGCTTATGTCAGCCAATAAGAGGGATAATAATAGAAATTAGGAAATTATTTCTAACCTGTCTAATTGATTGATTGTCCTGAACACAGACAAGGTTTCAAATGGACATATACAAGAGGCACTGAGATTTTAACACTTATTTGTTTGTAGCAGTAAAGAGAACACAATCCTTTAGTGGATTTGCTGGCTCTGGCGAGGCAGCCCACAAACAAGGCAACTCTCCCAGTGCATTCCCAGAACATGCCAGCTGACAAAGGCTATCAATAGAGTTGAGATTTGTTGTCCAGACAAGCTAGAAATCTTACCTATGGGTACTTTAGGAGTGAAGAATTCATAGCATTTGTTGCTTGACATGGCATAAATAAAACAGACATAATTTTGTTATATGTAATTTTCTTTCTGTAGAGAGACAAAGCTTTGGACATTGGCTTGTGAAAGTACATTTTGATGTTACAGAAATTGTGTGGATATACTGCTTATTGTTTTAGTTTGTTCACCTATAGTCATTGTCCCTTTCTATAGCGATGTTTGCAGCTGGAACCCTATAATGAAGTCTGCCAATACATGAAAGGACTCAGCCGTGTCTCTATGGGGCATTTCTATGAAGGAATTAAAGCTCAGACCAAAGTAATGTTAAATGATCCACTACCCGGTCAGAAGGCAAGCCAGGAGTATTTAAAAAGTGAAGTACTTAAGAGGTAAATGTGTGTTTTATGCTTTGAGTGTCCTGCTTAATTACTAGCTAACTACTGCAACTTTTCGATATGGCTGTCCCATATTGCCGTCCCGTGCAAGGTTCTCCCTTGCTGTGTCTCCCGGCTGCCCTATGAGCTATCTCCTTTGTTTTCTGTCCCATATTGCCATCCAGTGAAACATTCTCCCTTGATGTTGCTCCCGGCTGTCCTGTGGACTATCTGCCTTGTTTGCTGTCCAATATTGCTGTCCTGTGGGACACTCTCTCCCTTGCTGTGGCTCCTGACTGCCCTGTAGACAGTCCCCCTTGTTTGCTGCCCCACATTGCTGTCCTCTCCCTTGCAGCGACTTCTGTTTGCCCTGTGGATTACCTTCTCCTTGCTGTCCCATATTGCCATCCTGAGGATCATTCTTTATTGCTGTTCCTACGGTTTGCCCTGTGGACTATCATCATTTTTTGCTGTCCCATATTGCCATCTTGAGGATCATTCTAACTTGCTGTGCCTACTGTTTGTTCTGTGGACTAGTTCTCCTACTGTCTCTACCCCGCGTCCCCAATAAATGCCCGCACGTCTGGTTCCTTGTGATTTGCCTCTGTGTGCTCTCTCTCTGCACTTCTAGTTTGTCACACCCCCCCCCCCCTTCTGCAAGAACACCCAATCAGGTTGTAATCAGTGCCACAGCTATGACTTGCATCAACCACCTAGAGGGGACCAGGAGTCTTGCATCTTTGAAAGAAGCAAGCCAGATAATCGCATAGACAGAAGCTCTGTACAGCAATCTCTGCAGTTCATGTCCCAAGAATGAACAACTAGGAAGCGGACTACCTCAGTTGCCACTGCCCATATCAAGGGGAATGGGCTCTTAACCTAGACCTCTTCAGTCTGATATTTCAAAAGTTGGGGACTTGGATTGTAGACATCCTAGCCTTCAGAGGCAACAACAAATTACCTGTGTTTGTAGCCAGGACCTAGGATTCCTCTAGTGATGGCCTCAGATGCCTTGATGATTCTCTTATTTCAGTTGGCTAATCTGCATCTTCCCTCTAGTGTGAATTCTGCCTCTTCTGCTCAAAAAGATAGAGCAAGAGAGTAAAACGGTGATTTTCATTGCAGTAATGTACAGCGCTGAGCGAACTATTGGCGCTTTATAAATACTGTATAATAATAATCGAACAGGCGCTTAAGAATTTGGTACACAGACATACTCTAACTTCTAGCAGATCACCCCTAGCCTCTTCCCAAGAGGCCAAATCTGCTGTCTCAGGGCCCTCTATTCTGCCCTGTGTCTGTCTCTGGCTTTAACTGCATGGTTGTTGAAGCCCATATCTTAAAAGATAGAGGGGTCTCTGTTCTATGTTGCTGAAAGCAAGAAAAGCCACTTTCAGGAAGATCTATTATCGTACCTGGAAATCCTTTTTGCTTGGTGTAAACACAGGCACTTCCATTCCAGAGAATATTTTGTGTATCACATTCTGGCCTCCGATAAACTGGTCTTGAGGAAGTATGAGGAAAGGCTTCTTACAACTGTGGGAATAGGATGTCTTACACCCAAGACCATCATTTCTCCCCAAGATGGTATTAGTCTTCCACCTCAATGAGGGCATAGTCCTGCAATCCTTATGCCCTGTTTCAAAGCATCCAAAAGAAATCTTTCTTCGTTGCCTGGACATAGAGCAACTGGAGTCTACCTCAGATCTACAGCTTCCATCATACAAATTCACTCATTGTCCTTTCCTCAGGACTTCACAAGGGACACCCTACTTCCAAGTCCGCCTTCACCAATATGGAAAAGAAATCTATTTGCTAGAGCTTACACTCTTAAGGACAAATCTCCTTCGCTGATTTTTACATGCCAAAATCCTCTACATTGATGGGAGTTTCCTGGGCATAGCTGCACCAGATCTCTGTAGCCCAGCTGTGTAAGGCTGCCACCTGGTCTTCTGTTCAAAGTTCAGGTGGATGTCCAGTCTTTTGTGGATGCAGTTTTCAGACACAAGGATTTTGGAGCGGCACTCTGAAGTTTGGCTTTGGTTGGGAATTTTGACCCTTGTTGGGCTTCTTGTCACAGTTCTGTTTGCCTAGTTGTTGGCCACCCTTCTTATTCTTTCGGGACATCCCAGGGTCTATAAATACTCCAGTCTGTGTCATGTACTGTGCGAGTATGATGAGAGAAATTTTGACTTGCCTGTAAATTCCACATCTTGAAGTACAGTATAGGGTAAAGGCCACCCTCCATTCCTTTCCTTAGTTACTTTGGATTGCTTGGTGCAAAAGTGAGGATTCACAAAGCAGGAGGAGCTTCTAGTCCTCTGCTGTTAGTTACATGTTCAAAATAAAATAAAACATTTTGCAATACTGAGTACAAATACATAATCTCAAATTGTTTTAAATTGTCATAGAATATATATTTGAAATTTAAATCATTTTTTGGAAATAACGTGGTGTGGGCAGATTTCTGCAAGTCACAACTTGCTACTCCCCTCCTCCCTGTGTCTCAGAATAAGAGGAACATGTAATTTTCCACCCCCGTTGTATTTAGCTGGTTAGTGGGCAAGGAGGAGGAAAGGAGTGGGCTGTCATTTACCCCGGTATATGCCCATATGTGTGATTCTATAGTCACATGGGCTGCTCTGATGTGATAGGGAGGAAATGCTTCGCATAGAAACTCGCTGAAAACTGAGCAGGTGCACAGCTGCCTTTGCAACTGCAAAATCCCTAGCTGAGTTGGGGACATGAACAGAAGGTGGAGATAGAGAGCAGCAGGTTAAATCAGTCTTTTTGCAGAATACAGAAAACGAATCTCATAGTGGCTGAGTATGAACAGCATGCAATACAGCATGTTTTTTGTTTTTTTTATAATGTAGGTTTAGTGACACTTTTAAGGGTTTTACTGAAACCGTTAAATCCATAGCCCACAATATGGGATATTTTTTGTATTTTCTTTCAAAATCACATAAAGGGTTAGTTCACCTTTACAAAAACTGCCTGTGGAGGTAAAAGGTGTTTTGTAGATTAAAAAAACAAGCTGTGCAGCTCTATCTCAAATAATGCCCTTGCTATACAGCCCTGGCCGAACGTTTTCAGACCAACACAAATATTAATTTTCACAAAGACTGCTGCCTCCGTTTTTATAATGGCAATTTGCATATACTCCAGAATGTTATGAAGAATGATCAGATTATTTGCAAAGTTCCTCTTTTGTAATTAAAAAGGAACTTAATCTCACTGCATTTCAGCCCTGCCACAAAAGGACCAGCTGACATGTCAGTGATTTTTCTCATTATTGAGCTTTCTTTCGGTGGTATTTGATTGCCGTGTGGGGTTTTTTTTTTTTTTCCGGCTATTTAAAAAAAAAAAAAAAAGTCTGAGAATTTTTTTTTTTTTTTACTTTTTGCTATTAAACATGTTCAGTAAAAAAAAAATTATATCAAATTTCGTCATAAATTTACACCAAAATGTATTCTGCTACATATCTTGGCTAAAAAAAAATCCAGATACGTGTAAATTAATTGGTTTACATGAAAGTTATTGCGTTTACAAATGGCAGTGTATATATACTGGGATTTTTTTTACTAGTAATGGCGGTGATCAGCGACTTATTGCGGGGACTGTGGTGGACATTCTGACACTGGGGGGAACTGACTTGAGGGGCGATCAAAGGGTTAACTGTGTGCAGGGAGTGTTTTACTAGGAGGCGGTGTCTGTGTGCTTCACTGTAATCACACTGCTCTGGTAATTACTCGCCGGGTACTGGCGAGTAATTACCGGCTGGGACTCAACGATTGATGGCGGCGTGGGTAGAGCACGCGTGCGGCTCATGTACCCCCTACCCGGAGATGCAAAATCGCGCATATATATATATATATATATATATATATATATATATATATATATATATATATATATAATTGTACACCCCTCACAATTTTGTAAATATTTTATTCTATCTTTTCATGTGACAACACTGAAGAAATGACACTTTGCTACAATGTAAAGTAGTGAGTGTACAGCTTGTATAACAGTGTAAATTTGCTGTCCCCTCAAAATATCTCAACACACAGCCAGTATTGTCTAAACCGCTGGCAACAAAAGGAAGCACAAACACCACGGGAGGAAGTTTGCAGCCTATATGTGATAATCGTGCAATAAAAGTAAAAGGACAACTTTGCCTCTGGGCCGGGGGGGACCAGGCGATGGAGCCTGTGACAAATGGATTTGTTATTTATATTAAATAACCCCTCATCTGTGAATTACCTGGGTTGACCTTGTCTTCCTTTCTTTTGCAGAGTACTCTCGCTATTTGCATTCACATCTTGACATGCCAGTGACTGAATATAATATTGATGCTGACCTGCCTGGAAACTTCAAAGATCACTGGGCAAAAAATCTCCCCTTTTTGATAGAAGATTATGAGGAACAGCCAGGACTACAGCCTCACATAAAGTAAATACTTGTTTATCAAGGGAGCATACTTGGATTTGTTTATGAAAACTGTATTTTCCAAGAAAAGAAAAAACAATAGGGTTAAGTGAGCAGAGCAGCCCTTGCAGGGTTTGGTGAACTCAACTGAACCCAGCCCATTGAACCCATCAAACTTCGTGTACAGCTGTGCTTGGCTTTGCTGAGCAAAGCAGAAGACATCTGCGGGAAAATAAAAAAAAAAATCTTTTTTTTTGTGTTTAAAAATGTACTAAAAACTCCTTCACTGAAAGAACCAAAACAACGGAAAACTTTAACAGCACAACTGCAAAGAAATTACTTTAAAGCAAGCTTCACTGAATAACCTCAGAGGTCCATGATAGATTCCTGGTGTAGCTAAGATTGGGCTGATGGGTTCTGAAAATGCAAATATTTTGATTGGGATCCAAATTTCTAATAATGTTTAAGTTGTGACTTCCTTAGTGCCAACGCACACATGTGCATTCCGGATTTCAAGGTACGGTTTCAGTGCGGATTGCAATCTACTTGTTCAGCAGTTCAGGACTGTTTTTTTTGTGACACAGCTGCGTATTGTACTGTTTACTAGTTCAGGGACGGATTTTTTTGGTTTTGCTAAGTTAGACAGGAGGGGGGGGGGGGGGGAGAGCAAACTCTGCTGAAATCCTGTTCACAACTGTCGACATGTGAAATTCAGAAGCAGTTCCCATAGAAGTCAATAGCCTGTACTCCGCACCTGAACTGGACCACACTGCTTAGAAATCAGACAAGACTTCTTCCTTTTTTTTTTTTTTTTTTTTCTTTTTTTTCTTTTTCAATCCGCACTTGCAGTGCACTGGACATATGAGAATAGGCACATAGGGAGGTTGAAACCGCTTCCAATCCGCATATACTGTATGTGAACCAGAACTTAGAATGTCTAGCCATGTTAACAGTTTTAGAAAAAATGAGCAGTAGATATAGGCAGTTAGTTTTTGCTTGACTTTAATGTTTTTACTTTTATATTATATAGGGATGTGTTGCCTCAAAACTTTGAAAGCTACAAGCCAGAAATACAGGAACTTGTATGTGTAGCAGATCGCCTGGGAGCTTTAATGCAGTATGAAACATCAGGATTTCTTTCAAATAAGAGAATTCACAGAGGTACAGTATGATGGCAAGAAACATTGTATTTTGAAATGAGTCTTTATTTTTACAATTTAAATGGGCCTTACAACTAAATCATTCTAAACCCATACTTGTATTGTTAGTCAACCTCCTGGCTCAAGAAGACAACTACAGAGCTGACGTAGGCCATGGAGAGTGAAGGCGGTCACTGATCTGAGCTCTGTAGTAGGAAGTATGAGGTGCTAAGGGGCAGAGGTTGAAAAATAGTGTATTGTTTAAAAAGTGCAGTAAGTTGAAAGATCAACTTTTAAGCATCCACTATTGTAGACCGTGAATACATTTTGGAAGGAAACTTAGATTCAGTAATAAGTATAAAATTTAAAATCTATTGTGGATTAAAACATTTTCCTTGGAACAAGTGTATATGAATCCACTTGTGTTGATGTATGTAAATTAAGTAAATAGTCAGAACAGGATTCACTAGATACTAAAAAAAAATTATTTTGTGACCCGAAACAAGCTTGTAAAACAAAAAAACTGACCCCTGGATTCTGTTTGAATTGTGACCACAATATTACATTATTTGTACTTTAGGGTTCATGTCAAAGGGCATTTTAATGAAATACTGCATTTTACATTTAAATGTGTTTGACAAGAATAGGCTGTGTTTTTGCCTGCAGTTCAGATGCAACATAATGCAAAGTGGGTCAAATGCAGACTCTAACCTGCCATGTGTACTGTTCAAATTCTGTGGGATTTTTCAGACCTACATTCGATGTTCATTCCAAGCACAGGAAAACACCTGTGGACATTAGGTCTAAATTATTTTTTATTACTTTACTGTTTCTTGGAAATTAGGCTTCTCTGCTCTGTCTCATAGTAGTACACCCAAGAAAGCCTGCTCACCTGCGGTGGGTTAGGAAACCGTGAGAGACAGAAAACTGTTGGGGTCCTGGTCAGAGAGGCAGGGTTAGATGACTCTCCTGCCAGCTCCTGGATGTGAGTTCTGGGGGGGAGGGCGGCCTTTTTATCTGGTTGACCCCAAGTGAGTGGCGTTAGCTGTGGTCCTCCTTTCCCTGTTTGCTGTCTGGCACATTTCCTGTACCAGAAATAGTATGGAAAGCATAGCTGTGCCACAAGCTACTTCCCATGTGGCATTTTGTTTCACAGCATCCCTTTTAAGTGAGTTTTTTTTTTTTTTTCATATACAATTTATTTGCATAAATGCATTTTAGGTTTTGCATTCCAAGGACCCGGGTTTGGGGAAATATGGGGGGCTGTTGTTCATTTTTTTTAGAATAAAATTTAAAGACATACCCTGTCCAGCCAGCTTCCCAGAGCTCCAGTGATTTGTCCTACGTCCATCAGTCTGCTCCGTGGTGCTCCTATTGCTCCAGCAATGTGGCCACACCTTGGGCTGCTCATGCAAACTCCCCATTGACCGTTTTGTGTCCTGGCACTGTGGCCAAGACTCTTCAGCTTCCTATTGCCAGGCAACACTGCAGCCTTCTCCTCTCTGCTAATCTGCTATTGGTTCTGCACTGTTGGTGTCTGATTTAAACGTCACAATCTCTTTATCCAGGGCATGTGATTGGTTTTTTTCCACATGCCTCACTAACTGCCCATTGGCCTGTACTTGTACCCTTATTTGACTCCTGTCTGAACCAACCCCTGCCTGTTATTGACCATTTCTCCTGTCAGCTGTCTGAACTGGCCCCTGTCTGTTTTGAACACCTTTTGCCTGCTGTCTGGACTGACCTCTGATGCTGTTTTTTGGGAAAATGTCTTTGGAGGCTTAGTAAGTCACTAACCTCTATCACTAATGCTCAAGTGATATCTAGGCCACCTTTTTCTCATTCTCTTAAATTATCTGCATCAGAGAAAGTGATTGTTTCTTATAGTAGCAAAGGTAACAGGATATTGAAGGAGAGTTTGGTAAAGAAAACTGTAAAAGAAAGCAAAACTGGTTTGGAAAGAGGAGATCTGAAAGAATTATATTAAGGCTGTTCAAGCTACTAAAATATGGTATAGTGTGGTTATCTTGTAGCAAAGTACCAAATTTATACAAAGATGTACATCAGAACATTAAAGTGACCCATGCCATTCCTCCTGCCATCCTATCTAACAGTACTTGTGCATAGTCCTTTTGCTCCATCTATCGTGTCACAGCTTTCTAGAAATCCATAAACTGCAATAACATGTCTGTGTAAAAATGACTTTACCATCAGTGGGCTAATCTACCGAGCTTATGTATATAAATCTGCACAAATACAATCACAACTTCCTCCTTTCCCAGAATAGTTGCTCATTTATGTTCCATTTATGTACGGACTGCAGTATCCAAAACATAGTTGGTATGGGATCTTTTAAATTTCTACTATACAATGGCATTTATACAATATTATTATTTTTTTTTTAAAACATAACTCCGCCCCCTCCCCCCCCCCCCCCCCCCCCCCCCCCCCCCCCCTTCTCACAAACACACACACTCGTAATAAAAGGTTGACCCTAGTCTTTAAACTTTCATCCTCCCAGAAGATTTCAGCTAAGCAGTAGAAGGTTACCAATATTGCTTCGTGGTGTTGCAGTAGAGCATGGTTCACACTGCTGAAGAATGTCTCTTGCTGAGATCACCTTCTAGCAGTAGAGCTTCTCAGACTTAATGCTTCAATGGAAGATCCTCAGAAGGAGGAGCCTCTCTTGGATAGTCTTGGGTTTTTTAAAATCTATTTTTGCATTTGGAACACTTTATGAGAGATCGGTGGCTGGTAACCCCCCTGATTTTGTTTTAATTTTCCCCAAACAAGCTTGGACAAAGGGCTGAAGGCATGCACCTTTTTTAAAGTCCAGATTTCTTTTTTTCTGATTCTTTTTTTTAAATTAGTGGCACATATGTGGCTCAAGCAGTTTTTAATAGCCTTTTCAATCTAGTCTCCATTCCAAATGTCCTCTTATAACTCTATCGGGGTTCTAAAGTCATTAGATATTGTACCATTTGACACTCTCAGCGTTATACCTATCAATGTATTACCATCAAGAAAGCTTTCCTATTTGATATTTGTAACAACTAGGGATGTTGGATGCATCCAGGCTTTTCACAAACCTTACTATGTTTTAAGATAAAATTCTATTGCATTTATTAAATCTAACTACAGTTGCCTCAGATCACTCACAGATTACCCTGCCTTTTTTAATGCTAACCCTTCACAAAGGGGAGGAGAAATCTTTGCAAATTAGATGTTTGGAAGTATCTGTTTGAGTATTTATACTGTAAGTCACAGTTTATACTGCAAGTCACAAGTCCTTGGGGAATGCACAAGAATAACATAGTGCCATGTAAAGAAAAGAATAAAGCATTAAAGATTACTTTGGCTAGATGGAATATATGAGCCATCTTCCTCATTTATTTGCACATCAGTAAGACTCCCCCCAGAGTGCCTGAAGGTTCAATCAACAAGATCAATGCCTGCTGAAAGGAAGGCAATCTCACTAATGGTGGAATAGATTGTTAAGCCTACAAACCGATCAAGATGCAATACTTTCACTAAGTTTTCTTGTGTCTTCAACCAGTATTGTATGCATTAGATTTTTCAGGTGTTCAGTTATTGGCCATAGTCCTTTTTTCTTTTTTTTTTCTTTTTTTTTTTTTTTTTTTTTTATGATCATAATTTACTAGTAATTCTCTGGCTGGGTGGTTGCCATGAAAGCACATGACATTCTGCTCACTTTATGTATTTTTATATTTTATGTACTGAGGGACAATTTCTTGGTTTAGAATTGGCCTCAGTTTCCTGTACCTCTGGGTATGTGGTGTCCAATGTGCATGTTGTGAGAGAATTACCAATTTAACAGTATTTTATTCTGAAAATTACAGTCTTAATTTTAATCTATGTTTGTGCTCCTATGCTAATTTTGTAACACGTGCTGGCCTGAAATTCCTTTTTTTTTTTTCTTTAATTTATTTATCATGTTGCTTTGCAGCAATGGGTTTGGCTGCTCTTGAAGTCATGCAGGCAGTGCTGAGGACTTGGACAAACTCAAAAGTACGAATTAATGGCAAAACCAGACTAATGCAGTGGAGAGATATGTTTGACATTGCAGTTAAATGGAGAAGGTAACTTTTAGCTGTTAAGTACTGTTTGTTCTTTCCTTTGAAATAAGCCATTGCTAGAAAAACTACGATTTATCATATTACATATTTTTACTTTTAAATGATCATCAATTTAAATGAATCAGTAGAGCACAGGCCAGTAATACAACATTTATATTGGGTAAAAGACTACCTCTTTTTGTCAATGAATAAAATCTACTGAAACCCAACTCTTAGTTTAGGCAGTCTAACTTGGTCAACAAGTTATTACTGTAGATAATCTATAGTTTATATTAACAAGTGAGCTAAAACAGTCTGCCCCCAATGTTTATGGATAACAAATTCTATAATTTCAGTCAATTAATTTGGGGCAGCATGTCACTGCACATATTTTAATATTTTACAATGGATCTGCCAGTAGAACACAGTTGCCTCCTTAACCTTGCTGGTTTCACTACTCTGCCAGATTGAGGGAGCTATATATATATATATATATATATATATATATATATATATATATATATATATATATATATATATATATTTATATATATTTATATTTTCCAGGAGTAACGAACACTGGGAGAGCATTAGAGAAAAGAAAGCGTCACAGCGGAGATTTGGAATTTAATATAATAGATGTTCAATAATCACCTTCTACTAAAAAATAAATTATTCTGGGTGTCCTAATGTGTTTTGCTTTTTTGATAGGATTGCAGATCCTGATCAGCCTGTACTATGGTTAGATGAAATGCCAGCTCAGAGTCTCATCAGGGGCTTCAACAACCACATCAACCTTATCAGGTAACTGCTACAAGGAAAGGTACAGTGGCTCAAAAGGAGCATCATATTGCATGAAGAGCTTCAGCACATGCATTTGGTTTGTAGCGATATATAAATATTATACAGCACTACATTTCCCTACAAAAGTGACACAAGCTAGTCTATTCCAATCTCATTCGATAAATATTGCATTTGTGTATAAATGTAAAGTTCTAACTGGTTAAATGTGCACTTTCTCAAAGATGTTCCTAAATGAAGGTTGAATATTAACCACTTCAATACCGGGCACTTATACCCCCTTCCTGCCCAGGCCAATTTTCAGGTTTCAGTGCTCTCACACTTTGGTTACAGTGTTGCATGACCACACAATTGTCATTCAAACTACATTTTTAAAATTTTGTTCACACAGCTAGAGCTTTCTTTTGATGATATTTAATCACCACTGGGGTTTTTATTTTTTGCTAAATTAAAGACTGAAAATGTTGAAAAAACACACTTTTTTTTTTTTTTTTTTCTTTTTGTTTCTGTTTTATAAAAGTTTGCAAATTAAATATTTTTTGTTCATAAATATAGGCCAAGATGTATTCTGCTACATTTGCTTTGGTGAAAGTAACCCAAATCAGTATTTATTATTTAGTCTGTAGGAAAGTTAGAGTTCACAAACTATGGGACGCATCTGAAAATTGATTAGTCCTGAAATTCTGACAGCCGATCTAATTTCTTCAGGCCCAGAAATGTCAGAACAGTACAAATATCTACCAAATGACCTCTTTTGCAAAATAGAGTCCGACATATTTCATAAGAGGCATAGCAATTTTTTTTTGAAGTTGTAATTTTTTTTGGGAAAATGAAGAAATTTAAAAAAATTTCACAGCTCTTCTTTTTTTTTTTTTTTTTTTTTACATGCTGTCACCAGTGCAGTACAGCATCATCTTATAACTGGTGTGGCGGTTATCAGGGACACTGGTGACAGTACGAAAAAAAAATTGATAATTTTTTTCTTTTTTTTTTTATTTTAAGATTTTTCTCTAGTCTAACATTGTACTACTTTGGGGAAGTGATCAGTATTTTTTTTTTTTTCTTTACACAATTTGATTGCTTATAGCAAATTTCTTTACTATAAGCAAGCATTTAACTGAAATGCAGTCAATTTATTCAGGTTTTTTTTTTTTTTGTTCTGATTAGCTGTGATTGGCCACGGCTAATCACATGACACAGATGGGCTGTGATTGGCCCAGCCTGTGCATGTGATCACTGTGACCATTCACAGCTAGACACACTTGTACACTTGTATACAATGATTGGCATGATAGGAAGCCATCCATTGTTTACAACGGTTATGTGACCTGCTGTGATTGGTCACAGCAGGTCACATGGTACTGGCAACAGGGCCAGTACACAGATCGATCATCGACCGTGTCCAAGGTGCCCTGCGTGCACGAGCAATGCGCGACCCGGGAAGGACGTCATATGATGCCCTCCCGGATCGACGAGAGGCTCGCCCGGCCGTAATTTTACTATAGGCCGGGCGGGAAGTGGTTAGTCTGTGTATAAAAGCAACAAAATCCTCTTCACACACCATTGTATAAATCACTCTATATATTCACTGATAAGTGATATTTTCCCTCATTTACTTTCAGATTAAAACAGATTCAACAGATATATCAAGTGTGCTAAAGCATTGTGTATCATAAATAATTGTGATTTTTATTTTTTACATAAAATACTTTTTGTTCTGCTCATTTCCTACATTTTCCTCAATCACTGTCACTGTTAGGGAACATGCATTTGCTCCAGTGTTGGCTGAAAATCATTGCTTTAATGGGCTTCTGGTAGTTACAACAGTGATCCATGCCCACAAAATGTCATAATGTCAAATATCTAGTACTCAATCAGGGACACATGTAACTGGGTGACAACCTAGGAGCAAAATTGGGAAACGGTTGTCACAGCGTGCATAAACAAGGACCTTCATGACAGAATCGCCACATATACTTTTAATGAAAGCTGCATATTTAAAAAGTGTATGTGTGTCCATGTATATGCGATTTTTCACTTCCGGGTAGAGGGCGCGCATGCCCTATCGCCACTGGCGACTTCAGCTGTCGATCACCGGGTCCCAGCTGGAGATTCCCCACAGGCACCCAGCGATCGGGAGTATCACTGATGGGGGAGAGGTGTGTATGTAAACAATATAGATCCTCTCCTCTGTCAGCTCCTCCAGCAGAACAATACAAAGCAGCTGTGCTTACACTGTAAAACACACACACAGTAAAACAGCACACAGTTAACCCTTTAATCACCCTAGATGTTAACCCCTTCCTGCCCAGTGTCATTAGTACAGTGTCGATGCTTTTTATTGTATTTGTGTCACTGGGGATGTCAGTGACAGTCAGTTCCCCCCCAGTGTCAGAATGCCCATTGCAGTCCCGCTAGAAGTCGCTGATTGCCGCCATTACTAATATAGAAAAAAAAATTCCTGTGTGTGTATATATGCCTCCATTTTGTAGACTCTATAACTTTCACGTAAACCATTTAATTTACACGTATTGGGAATTTGGGTTTTTTTTTTTTTTTTTTTTTTCAGCAAAGGCATGTAGTAGAATACATTTTTGGCCTACATTTTATGATTAAATTTGATTTTTAAAACTTTTTTTTACTGAACAGGTTTAATAGCAAAAAGTCAAAAAACAAAACAAAAAAAAAACCCACACAAATATTTTTGACTTTTTGCTATTAAACCTGTTCAGTAAAAAAAAGTTTTAAAAAATGAAATTTAATCATAAAATGTAGGCCAAAATGTATTCTACTACATGCCTTTGCTGAAAAAAAAAAAAAAAAAAGCCGACAATTTTGAGAAAACAAGAAACAAAACAAAAAAAAAAACCCACACAAATATTTTTTTGTTTTCTCAAAATTGTCGGCCCTTTTTTTTTTTTTTTTTTTTGTTTATAGAGCAGAATAAAAAACCTGCAGAGGCACTCAAATACCACCAAAAGCGCTCCATTTGTGGGGGAAAAAAAGGAATACATTTTAATGTGGGTGCAGTGTTGCATGACCGCGCAATTGTCAGTTGAAGTAATCGCAAAAAAGGCCTGGTCAGGAAGTGGGGTAAAGCCTCTTGAGGGCAAGTGGTTAATGAATTTTATTCCACAAGAACACAATATAATACCCAATTGTTTGGTAAAATATTAAAGATGATGTTATGCTGAGTAAATACCTAACATTAAACACTTTTTAAAATTGCACACACTTTAAAAGCTCTTGCAGGTTACTAGTTTAGAGTTACACAGGAGGTTTGGTGCTCGAATTATTGCTCTCGCTAAAACACTTGAGGCAATACCTCACATGTATGCGTGACCTACGTATGCGTTCACCTTTTCGCGGGGTGGCTGACATGCTTTTAAAATTTGGTATCCCTGTTTTAAAGTTTGGTATCACTGTTCTGTCTATCACAAGATATGAACATCCCTTGTGAAAGCTAAAGCAGCGAAAGGTCCTCTATTAGACTCCAAATCTCTCCACTGCCCTTCAAAGCATCAGATCAAACCCAGATGCTTTAACAAGCTGTAGCTGCAGGCATCATACCAATAAAACCCCTTCAACCTGGCGATGTAGGAGTATGTAGCTGAAGTGGTTAAAGAGACATTTTAATGCAAACTGTCATTTGCTTTTGCATACTTCTTCAGGTTTAATGTTTTAATGTAATTGTCATTACCTAATTATTTGTGTAAAACAGAACATTTTTGTGTATGTATTTTGCAGAGGTCAGGTAATCAACATGCGATACTTGGAATATTTTGAGAAGATTTTACGCTTCATAAAAGAGCGGATCCTTATATTTCACAGGTAAATATGTATTATTGCTGGACTTAATTTAGAATTTTATTACACTCTTAATATGTATGCTGGAAAATAATGGTGGCCACACAAAATATTAATACTTTGGGCCCAATTTTGGATATTTTTACTTAGGGGTGTACTCACTTTTGTTGCCAGCGGTTTAGACATTAATGTGAATGTTTTGTGTGGCCACCATTATTTTCCAGCACTGCCTTAACCCTCTTTGGCATGGAGTTCACCAGAGCTTCACAGGTTGCCTCTGGAGTTCTCTTCCACTCCTCCATGACTACATCACGGAGCTGGTGGATGTTAGAGACCTTGAGCTCCTCCACCTTCCGTTTGAGGATGCCCCACAGATGCTCAATAGGGTTTAGGTCTGGAGACATGCTTGGCCAGTCCATCACCTTTACCCTCAGCTTCTTAAGCAAGGCAGTTGTCATCTTGGAGGTGTGTTTGGGGTCCTTTATGTTGGAATATTGCCATGCGGCCCAGTCTCCGAAGGGAGGGGGATCATGCTCTCCTTCAGTATGTCACAGTACATGTTGGCATTCATGGTTCCCTCAATGAACTGTAGCTTTCCAATGCCGGCAGCACTCATGCAGCCCCAGACCATGACACTCCCACCACCATGCTTGACTGTAGGCAAGACACACTTGTCTTTGTACTCCTCACCTGATTGCCGCAACACACGCTTGACACCATCTGAATCAAATAGGTTTATCTTGGTCTCATCAGACCACAGGACATGGTTCCAGTAATCCATGTCCTTAGTCTGTTTGTCTTCAGCAAACTGTTTACGGGCTTTTCCTTTGCATCATCTTTAGAAGAGGCTTCCTTCTGAGATGATAGCCATACCGACCAATTTGATGCAGTGTGTGGAGTATGATCTGAGCACTGACAGGCTGACCTTCAACCTCTGCAGCAATGCTGGCAGCACTCATATGTCTATTTCTTAAAGATAACCTCTGGATATGATGCTGCGCACGTGCACTAAACTGCTTTGGTCGACCATGGCGAGGCCTGTTCTGAGTGGAACCTGTCCTGTTAAACCGCTGTATGGTGTTGGCCACCGTGCTGCAGCTCAGTCTCAAGGTCTTGACACTCTTGTTATAGCCTAGGCCATCTTTATGTAGAGCAACAATTTTTTTTTTTCAGATCCTCAGAGTTCTTTGCCATGAGGTGCCATGTTGAACTTCCAATGACCAGTATGAGAGAGTGCGAGCGATAACCCCAAATTTAACACACCTGCTCCCCATTCACACCTGAGAACTTGTAACACTAACGAGTCACATGACACCGGGGGAGGGAAAATGGCTTACTGGGTCCAATTTGGACATTTTCACTTAGGGGTGTACTCACTTTTGTTGCCAGCGGTTTAGACATTAATGGCTGTGTGTTGAGTTATTTTTTTGAGGGGACAGAACATTTACACTGTTATACAAGCTGTACACTCACTACTTTACATTGTAGAAAAGTGTCATTTTTTTTTTTCAGTGTTGTCACATGAAAAGATATAATATATTTACAAAAATGTGAGGGGTGTACTCACTTCTGTGAGATACTGTATATAGAAAGATTTACAGGCTGTCTGCCTGACATGGCAGCACTTGTTTGTCTGAGACTGATGCTTGTGTCAACAAGTTATCTAAAACCAAAGTAGGTAATGATCAACAGGGAAGTAACTATTGTATTTTGTAAGAATGACTGCTGAATTATAAAGGTGAATGTTCAGATTCTTAAATAATCCAATCATAACCTAAACTGGCCCTCAATATTAGACAGTTGGACACGCCTGCCTGATCAAAGTACTGGAGGAGAATGTTTGTTTTTTATCTTTCTGGAAGACCTTTCTGTAAATACAAATGATCGGATTACCTTTTGTGTATGTTTGTTATGAAAGAGGGAGAGAGCAGGGAGATATGTGGCAGTTGGCCTCGACTTAGGGAAAAAAGTAGTGATTTACTGTGTAACATAGCTAAATGTTATTTTCTCCAATTAGCCTAGGATATCGAGAATCTTTAATACTAAATTACGTCCCCACTTTGGGTTTGGATCACATGGGTTCTGGCTGCCAATTATAACTGCAGAGTCTATTGTTTTCAATCACCTCTGAGATGAGAGGGTCTAAAGGCTTCTCCCATGAAAGTACAAACTGGGAGAAAAAACAAGGTTTTCATTATATGAATACGAAGTAATGAGTTGTTTATATAAAGATGACATATATTCCTCAATGGCCATACAGCATTCAAGTCTACTTTTTGTGTGCTTCAAATGTCTTTTAAAAACCCAAATATTACCATGTAAAAGTGAATAAATCCCTGCACTACATATAGCCTGAAGGCTGTCTGCAGAAAACTACAGGAAGGGATGGAGACAAGACCAGTCACCCTGCATAAGAGAAAACGCAGCAGTGACTGGTCTTAATACAAGCAGCTTTGCACACTGGATTACTGCGCAGATCTGGAAAAAATACACAAAGCACCTCAAAAGTCAAGTAAAAATACACATGTCTCTTGTAATTAGGCATTATTTGCTTATCCTGAAGTTCCGTTTTTAACACTTATAACTTAAAAAAAAAAAAAATAATAATGTAAGTTGTAAGTAAGAATTTGGGTCATAACTCAGAGTATGTGCTTATTAGAAATACACTGTTTACTTTTTAAATATGCAAAGGTAATATTTTTTAATGTAATAAGCCACTTTGTATCTATGTATAGCTGAACATCTGTCTAAAATGATTTTCTTCTTCTAGAGGAAATGTGTTCTTTCAGGCCTTGTAACTGAGCCTCTCTTCATTGTCATAGCTCTTTTGTCTCTTTTGATTTACAGACCCTCAGTTGTCTAATGTACATTCATTCTAGTGGTAGTCCTGGCTCATAAACCTGTTCTCTTGGAAATTGTTATCCTTGGAAAAGTCCCTGAATTTCAAAAATACTATTAATCAATTTTTATTTATTGAAGATCCAATTCTTTCCATCTGTTTTGTTGCAGTGTTATGCAGCCTTTAAAGATTATACTTCTCGAAACCAAACAATATGCTTTCAAATAAGGCATACTTATCCTGTGTAATGTGTATGTCCAGCTGAAACTGTGTGGTTTGTGTGTGTGCTCTGTTTTTCTTTTTTTTTTTTACAGAAGAGGAAGTGAGGAAAACTCAAATCTAAACACAAAAAATTCTGACGTGGGTTCTAATCATTCCCTAATCTATCCAAAACTAAAAAGGAAAAACAAAGAAAGTTTTAGCTAAATGCTTTAACCGATATAATTTAGAAAACATGGAAGCTGCAGGTGTTGACTTTTTGCTTCTGAAAGTACTAAAGTGATATTAAAGTTTTTCTTTTCCATTTTTAAATAATAAACATGTTATGTGTACCTGCTCTGTGCAATGGTTTTGTACAGAGCAGCTCTGTGCAATGGCTTTGCACATAGCAGCTCAGATCGTCTTTTTCCCGGGTCCCCCACCAGTTCTTCTCCCTTTTTGACCAGTACCCCCAATAACAATCCACTTCCTATGGGAGCAATGGTGTGTGCTCGTTCGCAAGCCCCGCTCTGTGTCCAGAAGTCTAACTAGTTAGATTTTGGACATCCTCTATAACAAAAATGTAATTTGAGGTGAGATACACCCAAAAGGAAACCACATTTAAGGCGATGCAGACTCTTCCACTTACCTCATTAGAACCCTGCAGCTAATAATGATAATTATAAAGTCACTCCCATTCTCGTTCACTTTGCACATGGACATAGACAAACCGCTATTTCTTTAGAATACCGAAAGGTAGGAATCTGCAACAAAGCTTGTTAAAATCCTTGTACAAAGAGCTAGTCAGAGGGGAATATTTTTTTTTTTTTCAACAGAAATGGAGTTACTCCTTTAAGCTGAGAATTCATTTGGACTTTAAAATGTACCAGGATGTCCCAATTTTCCCCAGACGTTACTTTATATTGCTAGGGTTCTTCTGTACTACTTCACAGTTTTCTCTTACCCCTGCTAGTGAGTTACAGTGGATTTATGGTTTTTTTCATTGTGTTACTAAAAATCACTTGCAGTAAGTTGGAAAAACTAGCTGAGATGACAGATCTGTTTCAATCGTTTTATTAAGTTTGAAATAACAATAGAACAGTACAGGAGTACCAAAGTATGCATCAAAATTAAAATGTCTAAGCAAGATTTATACATAGGTGACCATCAGAAAATTACATAAAACATGAGAGACATATCTCTCTAAGGCAGGGGTCTCTAAACTTTCTAAACTAAGGGCCAGTTTATTATCCTTCAGACATTAGAGGTGCCGGACTGGGGCCAGAGAATAGAAAATGTTCTGGTGTCAGTAACAATACTCCATCGTTGGTGTCTGTGAAATGAATAGTACACAATCATTGGTATCAGTAGCAGCAATAGTGCCCCATCGTTGGTGTCAGTAGCAGGTATAGTGCCCCAGCGTTGGTGTCCAGTAGCAGGTATAGTGCCCCAGCGTTGGTGTCCAGTAGCAGGTATAGTGCCCCAGCGTTGGTGTCATTGGCAGGAATAGTGCCCCAGCGTTGGTGTCAGCGGGAGGAATATAGTGCCCCATAATAGTGGCCTCCTAAAGAGATCTGCACTGTTGGGTTGCTATAGAATGAATGCAGCGAGGGTATACGTTTGGGACAGAAATTCCATCGTTCCAGCATCTGAAAGTGGTAGGACCACGAAAGGGAATCGAATACCTTTCGTATATCCAGGGACAGAAGCATCCCATGTCTAATGCCCTCCCCATTCCAAGAAGAGTGCAAAATTGAGATGAGGTTTACGTACTTGATCCGCCTCCTGTCTGTGGGGCAGGAAACCAACCTGATCAGAATGTATGTAGTTGTCTTAAAAAGGTCGACCACCGATTGGCATAGATTTTGGTGAACAATTTCAAGTCCTTTTTGATCAAAGACATGGGCCTATAACTAGCTATATCACCTGGGTCTTTGTGAGGCTTCAGGATAAGTGTACGAGTGCCCTGTTGGAATCAAGGTCTACA